AGGATTGTACATAGGGTGGGTTGCTGCCGGCATTACTGCCAGTTCAGCGCACAAAAAAATTGTGCATGCACGCAAGCTTCACTCCCACACACGCCAAACACGTGCTCCATGTGTGTGCAAATTTGCACCTAAAAAAGTCTGCACATGCACACGTTAGAAAAGGAAAATTAAATTTCTGCAATAAACATTGTTCTGTGCATGCGCAGAACTGAAAATCAAGATGGCGGCACCGCCGATAGAACTGGTTCAGGGGTGTGGCAGGCCGAGGTACTACCTACTCGGCCGAACTGATCCGAACTGGTAGGAACCCACCTCTGGATTGTAGTACGATTAGTACTATATTTACTTTCTTTTGCCACAGTCGTTCTATTTCTATTCGCATGTCTTTATGTTTTGTTATCTGCTTCAGTTCCTTCTCTTCTATTCTGCAGTCTCCAGGTCCTGTCTTATTATTAATTGAAGTGCAAGTGTATAAGTAATGGATGTCATAGCCCTTCAGAAATGGTTGAAGAGGCTATGAATTGCAACAGTACATGTTATGCTGCCTGTATGTTTAACGAATATTTGTGAATTGGGCTTTATTTCTTTTTTTTCTTAAAATCTACTTATCCTTGGGGGTCAAAAGTGGGACAGAGCCGCAAAAACCTAGAAGTTGTGATTGCCAAACCATGTACCATGCAACATGCTCAGTCATCATTTAATTGTTAAATATGTGTAAGCTGTATTGGATTTCAACTAGCATTGTTTTCCTTCTCTGCTTCCTGTCCATTTAAACTGGATCTTTTATCTACATAGCAGATGCTCTGAGTTACTTCTCCTCTGCTCTGAAGGGAACTTTTCTTCATCACGTTATCTGTTGATCTGATTAATATTTCCTTTCAGTTTTAACGACCAACCTTTAATAGTCAAAAACACACATCCAGTCATTTTCTGAATGATACTGACTGCATTACATAGAAAAAAAAAAGGCTCGATGGAGTTTACCTTCCAAATTAGCTTTAAGGCCAGAAGGGTCTTCAAAATTGCAGCTTTTCAAGGATGCTCCCTCTGCATTTGAGCACAACATCTTTACACCTTGGAGGTTGGCATACTGCCAAAGAAAGAGGGAAAGAAAAATCTCAGATGAAAAAGAGGCCACGTTTCATCTCATCTAGAAATCTGCAGGCTACATTTGACAGATGTTGGACTGATTGTATTTTCTTAAAACACTAGGAAGAAAATTCCACAGCCTTTGTTAGCGGAATCTGCAGGTGTCAAATCACAGGGCTTTACCTAAACAGAAAGGACTTCACTTTTAACTACCCTTAAAATTTGCCTCTTGATTCATTTCATGGGTAATAATCTCTTTCATCTTTTCAAGTCCATCATACCAAATCCTGATCAAGTACAGCAGGGGCATCAAACTCGATTTCATTAAGGGTTGGATCAGGGTTGTGTTTGATCTCAGGGGGCCAGGTGGACGTGGCCAGGGTGGAGTCCTCTGCAGCCTCTTGCAGCTGCCAGTGAAAAGGGAGCATCCCCCCTGGGCCCTGTTTTCAGCCAGGACAGTCTCCTGTAGCCCTCTGCCAGGGAAAATAGAGCACAGCTTCCCCAAGGTCCTTTTTCACCAGAAAAGGGCTACAGAAGGCCGCCGTGGCTGAAGACGGGGTCTGGGGACACTGCTCCATTTTTGCTGGCAGAGGCACCGTGGGCCAGTCCTTCACTGTTTTCAAGATACCCCCACAGGTCAGATCTAAGTACCCTGTGGGCCGGATCTTGCCTGCAGGCTTTGAATTTGAAACCCCTGAAGTACAGTATGTTTCCATCTCTNCTAAAGTAGCCAGACCAACCCAGTTCAAAAACCCCCACTCAAAATGACTAAAGCAAAGTTTCCACTGTATGGAAGGAAGACTGAGAATTCACAATAGACCCTTTGCTATTAGCTTTTCATTCAAGGGTCATGAAAAGTACAATTCCTCTAAACCAGGGGTGTCAAACCCGTGGTCCATGGGCTGGATGCATCACACACTGGCCACACCTATTCCTGTTTTAGCGAAGGGGGAAAAGGTCACCATGTCACATGACGTGGCAACGCGAGTTTCACAACCCTGCTCTAAGCATTACCAATTTAATCATCCCCCTTTTGTGGGAGGGGAGTTGGACATAAGGCACCATTCAGCATGGACTGTCCAGTCAGCTTCCATTTGTGGCTTAGGATGAAAAAGAAAGGACTGAGAGCATATTCACACTCCCATTGTCAGAGAACAGCTTTTCCCATAGTTTTTAATGCATGCCTAAATAAGTCACCCAAGTAATCATGTAATGAAAACTCTGTGTCTATTACAACCTCTTGATTCTGTCTGGCTAGGGTACTCCCATGCTCCCCAGCCTGGTTCCCTTCCCCATCCAGAAGCTGAATGAAAAACTACGGTAAGTACAATGGATTCTTCCCACAGACATGTATCAACTGATGTCCAGACCAGATGATTAGTGTCCATGAGCCTCACCCACCCACCCAGGAGCTGACAGACCAATTCCTCCAAATGCAACTGCAGCGGAGAAGTATAGATTTTAGTCCCTTTCTAGTATGTAGTTCTGGAGCTGTTGCCTCATTCATTGGAATTTCCCTTCAATCTCTATACATTTTGATGTTGATTGTAGCTCTGAATCTAAGGTAAGCGCTCACCCAGTTTCATTTATATCTGTGTGTACACAATCTGGCTATAGGCCCACAGGCACAGAGAGCATTGAAATGTTCTGTATTGACATCACAGGGAATTTGTAAGCCATGACCTGGTTTGCATGACTTGAGTGTGTCATACGAATTCTCCAATTCAGGCTGAATTGCAAAGCCACAGGTTAGCATGATTTGTGGTCCCAAGCACATTTTCTAAGCCCATTTAAATCAGGTTCGCTCTGGTTACTTTTAACAGGAGGATCCACTACTTCTGTTTCTGTAACTCAGCTAGAAATGTGCACAGGTTAAGGGTTTGCATACAGCCACATGCTGCCGTGGGGCTTATGAGAGTTACAGGGTATCCAGAGAGATCAGATTCCCTAATTATATTCTAGCAGGAAAAATATAGCTGGAATCTTATTTCTGTTGCAGCTGAAACTTGTTTATCTATAAGGCCAGACTTATATAGGTGGTGTTAAATTACCTTTCCCAGCAGACCCAGTGAGTTGGCTAATGACAATGAATGATGAGAACGGCAACCCGAGCATGTAACACCAGTTCCAGATTTATAGGCTGATGAAACATCAGTTTCCATTTGCAATTTTAAACAAGTTTTATTTCTTGATCCCCCCCCCCCCTATAAAACTATGAAGGTGGTTCGTGTTTTTATTTGCATAGGTACATAAAAAGGATCGGGAGTGAGGTAGGGAAGGACCTTTAGGATCAAATCTTAACATTGTGATATCTGGATTGGGTCAAATTAAAGTAACCCTGTTTTGTTTCTTGGCATGGAGCGCTGCTGAGGTGTTTCTTGTTTCGTATTGGCATAACTGGAATGCCGGAGCTGAATGTTTTGACCGCTTTTTGGAGACTTTGTAGAATTATTTTTTTAAAAAAAGAAAAAAAAACCCCGCAAGAGTGGGGGAAATATAGGGACTTTCCTTTTTTAATAACATTTCAAAAAAATTTCTAGGCATATTTTGGCTGTGTATGTTCCTAGCCCTTTATTTCCAAGTACTGACAGAAGAGACTACTAACTGTGGAGTCCTTGGTCTTCTCTGAGCTTGGTTGTAATCTCATGGATGTTTCATTACCAAACTAAGTTCACATCACTATGCAAAGTAACCTGAACTGAGCAATTTATGATTGCTCCCTACTTTATCCAGGATCCCCAGGATATACTCAGTGGTGGGATTCAGCCAATTCACACCTATTCGGGAGAACCGGCGGTTAACTTTCTAAGCAGTTTGGAGAACCAGTTGTTGGAAAAAATCTCCTTTTGGTTTTTTCCCACTTTACCGGGATAATCCTGTAAGGAAGGCAGAAAGGAAGCATTCTGGTATTCTTTCTAGCCTAATCTTTATTGCCCTGTTTACAGAAACCGCCTCTCCGGTTAACCTGATTACATTGTAATAGCTAAGNTTGTCAATAAATTTCACTAAGTTTAATTAGTTTTTATTTTTTAACGTTCCATTCATATGTAAGGGTGGCTGCACTTCTGGTTTCCATCGCACTCCCATTTCAACACTTGGTGCCGAAAAGGTTTGCCAACACTGCTATATGTCAAAGATGCACAGAATTCTATTACCTTCCCTGGTGGTACCTATTTATCTATTTGCATGTGTATGAATTAGTAGGTTGTCAAGAATTGAGGCAAGAATGGGAGTTCAGCCCATCATGTGGTACTTGTGTCTCGAACTACCGATCTTCTAATCGACAAGCCCAGCATATTAAGAGCTAGGCCACCACGTCCCAACTTAGTCTTTGTCTTAGTTAACTTAGATAACTTAGAATTTAGACTTAGTTTTATTTGTTTCTCCTTCTCCAAGACTAGCAAATAGTTTAGATCAGCGGTCCCCAACCATTATGGTTTAGGAGCCGGTGGGGGGGAGGCGAACTGGCCCATGCAAACAGGGGCTGGTGCATGTCTGCACATGTATGCCAGCTCACCACTTGCACAAGTCAAGCTGTGTGTACACATACTGACCCGCCACTTCCACAGCTCACTTCCAAACTGGCCCAGGCCCAGTAGTGGGCCACAGTCCGGAGGTTGGGGACGCCTAGATTAGACCTTGGCATTTTGAGATCAACATAATGCCCAGTGTGATATTTAGCCCAGTATCTTAGTCTAAACATTTGGAATAGGTAGAAAAAACTTTTTAAAGTAAAAGATGATGGACTGCAAGAAAAACAGTAGCAGATGATGTTTGAAGGGCTAGATAATGATATAAATGAAGTTGCCTTCATTTATATGAAGGCCCCAAGAGAAGATTATGTTGTTGTGCATGGCAGTTGAGAGCAAAAGACAAAGGTTGAATTCGCTGGAGTTGGTTTAGGTTTATTCAAGTCTTACAATATTTGCATCTCATATGTTTACTCTGATTCCAAAGAGGAGATGCCAGCTTGTTCAAAATCATTTACAATAAATGTAATGTTAAGTGTAAATCCAGACTACTGATTTACCCTTTGAACTACATTCAGATATATGGCTGGATACATATATCTCACTGAACAATAAAACTAGCTATTGTTTAGTGAGATATATGCATCCAGACATATTAACTGACTGGACCTTGGAAAATTTTGTTTTTCAGGAAAGATATTAAAACTATTAAATACGGTAGCTACCGAAGGGGGGAAAGGACCAAACTGCTGGAGGAAAATCATTATGAAAAGTGGGCTATGAAGCCAGCCCTCACCTGAGGCTGAAATATTTCAATCCATCCTTTTAAAATAAAAGGTAACCTCTAGTTCTCCCATTCACCTTAAAAAAGATGTAATTAGCATTCTCCTTAGCAATATGTTCAGCTTCAGATTACTGTACAGAGTAAGGAAGATGACCTTGGTGGAGAGAAACTAGCTCCATTAGCAAAAAAAAAAAAGAGGGAAAAACCTCCCAGGTCCACAACAAATAGATAATATTCAGAAGGGATTCAGACATGCATCCCACTACTTCACAAGAATATAAGAGGGGGAGGGGATGTAACACGATTCGGTTTCTACAATAGTTTTAGTCTTCCTGTGGTGGTGGTTTCCTGGTCTGATCAACCTGAGGGGGCTGACAATTACATTGCCCTGTTGTTAAATCACTGGAACAGAAAATACTGCAAAAGTTGAAAATAACGTTTAAAAGAGAGCTCACCTGTAAGGACACCTTTCAGTCCTCTGAGCGTGAAACGCTGGCGTGGCACACTGCATTCAACAGGCTGCAGTTCCCCAGTTTTGTCCATCTCATTTTCAATCTGCGTTGGAGAAAAAAAGAGTCAAGCGATGGTCTGAAATTATGGAAAGTCAGTTTTGGGTTAGAAACTTCAGAGGTTGTGCAGTGGAATTGTTTCGTGCAGGGGTCTCCAACCGTGGCAACTTTAAGACTTGTGGATTTCAACTCCCAGAGTTCCTCAGACTTCAGGTGG